GAAAAAGGCGAAACTATAATTTATGGATGAACCAATCAGATACAAGACAATACGTCTCGGATTTTGGCTCGAAATTCACTTATCCGTTTGGTTAGATAGAATTTCAGGATTATAGCTGGTGTCAGTTCCGATTTAAAAAACATAAATCTAATCTCTAACCTTAACTGTCAACTGTAAATCATAATTCTGATACCTCACACAAGTTTATAACCCTCATTTAGTACTGGTTATTTGGTGGACACTCTGAAGGTCAGTCTAGGGTCGTTCAAACGTCGTCCATAAATTTCACTTTAACATGAAAGAAAAAATTAGTAAGGTCAGATTATTCGCCTATGATAATGATAATAATAATAATGATTAATTTCAATTTGGTTATTTATTCTCTGAAGAAGTGACTTGCACCAAGTCACGAAACGTCAGAAAATCTAATTTCTCTACTCATTAGGATATTACAAATATACTATCTATTTATAACAACAATCTATCCAATGCTCAATTTATTCGAAATTATCGAATCAAGTCTTGGTAATGATACCGACAATAGTAATGATAGTAATAATAATAACAACAATAATGGTAGCAATGATAAGAGTAATAATAGTTAACATGCTAAAAGAATAAACATGATAAAACTGCTTAGAAACTATTTCTCTTTTTATATTTTTTTTCGTTCAATATTATTCACTGAATTATATAAGTGAAAAGTAAAATTTTAAAAATAAAAGAGAATGATTATGGTTAATAGTAAAGAAGAAATTGATGGTAAACATCTCATCCTATTTGAAGCTCATTAGTTTGGATCCTAGTGTATTGAATATTGTGAATTTGACTTATTATATGAACAATAATATTGTGATTCAGATGTATTTAGGTGAATAGTTTCAAATAAGAAGAAATATATGATCCAAATTTAAGTGTTAGCAAACATTCTTTTGTTCTATGAATACTTGTCATAATAATAATAATAATAATAATAATAATAATAATAATAATAATAATAATGAGAATAGTAATAGTAATAAGAAGAAGAATAAGAAGAAGGTGATTCGTCCAGGTTTACATATGTGGATGAAGACTGATTCGAATGCACTCTGAGATATCGCCCTCAAATGCCCTAGTACGGCCGAAAGTGGAGAGAGTCCGCTCTCTCTCTCTCTCTCACTTGGCCACGCGTATACAGCCAATACTAGGAAAGTACTACTCACCGCATTATAGCGACAAGTGTTATTTACGAAAGTGAGAGGACGATAAACGAATGTACGGCGCTTTAACAGTGTTTGTGAAAATGGAGGGTCCACTTAGGGGAGTTGGAAAACCCTGATTCCAAACTAATGGTGCATATGGGTTCCGGGATCCTAAGGGAACGAATGGCGTATGGACCAATTATTGGTCACCGTTTACTATAGCATTCTATCTTCTATTGTTGCTTCACTGCCTTTTGGACTAGACCTTTAGGTCAAAGGCTTCGGGTGTGACCCTCTAAGAAAATCACCTGCCTCGATTTGAGCATCCGAGCAGCATCACAGTTCACACACAAATCAAGTGACTTGTGCAGTGCATATGTATTCGGTGCCTCTTTGTGTCAATATTTATATGTTCAAATAAATAAGTAAATAGTCTGAAATATCAACAACAAGATAATCCATATATTTACAATTGAATTTAAACGATAACAAACTTGTACAAAAAGATATTTGCGAGAAAAATGTTTTTTTAAAATGATTAAACTAGGTAAGTAATTTTGAGATAAATTGTTTACCTAGATTCTTAATTATCTTGTATTGAAGATATAGTCCAGTGGTGGACAAATATTGCAGTGACGTCTCATACTATAACAAAACAATTGTTCAGTAACCATTACCTTTTACTATTTTTCGAGATAATATCTATCTATGATGTAAAATTCCTATCAAAATATTAACGATTAAGTTTATGTGACTAAATGTAAAGTACTGCGTTGTTTACAGAGTTTTTATTTTTGATTTATATGATGATATAAAAGTAGCTTGTTACATTGAGATGTCTAAGAAATTTAGTGCTTGGTTTACTTATCTCTCTATTATATTTATCCAATCAATTTATTACATTTTAATGTAAGGATATATGATTGTATATTGTAAATTTTACTTACTTACTTACTTACTTACTTACGCCGGTTACTCCCAATGGAGCACAGGCTGCCGACCAGCATTCTCCAACCAACTCTGTCCTCAGCCTCTCTTTCCAGTTCTATCCAACTCTTGTTCATTCTCATCATGTTTGTCTCCATTTCTCGGTGTAATGTGTTCTTTGGTTCTCCACTTCTCTTTTGGCCTTGGGAATTCCAGGTGAGGGCTTACCTTGTGACGCAGTTGGGTGTTTTCTTCAATGTGTGTCCTATCCACTTCCAGCGCTTCTTCCTAATTTCTTCCTCCACTGGGATCTGGTTTGTTCTCTCCCACAGTACGTTGTTGCTGATAGTGTCCGGCCAATGGATCTGAAGTATTTTGCATAGACAATTGTTAATAAACACCTGTATTTTCTGGATGACGGCTTTCGTAGTTCTCTAGGTTTCTGCCCCGTATAGTAGAACTGTCTTGACATTTGTATTGAAAATCCTGACCTTGGTGTTGGTTGACAGTTGCTTTGAGTTCCAGATGTTCTTCAGTTGTAAATATGCTGCTCTTGCTTTGCCGATCCGCGCTTTCACATCTGCATCAGACCCACCATGTTCATCAATGATGCTGCCCAAATATGTAAAGGATTTTACATCTTCCAAATCTTCTCCTTCAATTGTAAATTTTAAACACATAAATATGCTAAATTAAGTTATTGGCGTTTAAAGCAAAAGGTATTGGGTGTAAATCTTGGAGTGGATATCAACGCGGAAGCAAGTGCATCTTGATGATGAACCCTAAATAGTATGAAACGCGCGTCCTAAACTCAACTACAGGTCACATTCTTTCTATTTAAGTATAAATGTGATTTTATTGTATGGTATAGCTTGTTTTACTACAGTCATATAGTCATACTTAATCATTATGAAAGGTCGTGTTGGGAAGTAACTAGAAACCCAGCTTAAAATAGTAAATTACAATTAACTGAATAAAATCATGTGAATATTGAAATAAGTGCAGCTAGTAGTGGACATAGACTTTAGAATATTCAACGTGATAATATACAAAAGTATATGTTGAATGTGAAGTTATTCAGAAGAAATTGATTTTTCTCTTTAATTCCTCAGCAGAACACTACTACACCAACTTGACCGATTACAATATAATCCTTGTTTTGAACATTTCATTTAGAATGCGTTAAGCGGTAGTCTAAGAAGTATGTTTCGTTGTATTTGGGACTCACCGGATGAACAAACCTCATTCAGAGTGTTCATATTGATTGCGTACGCAATTGACTTACTGAATGCAGTATCTTAGTTGAAAACGTACTGACACCGAAAATGTTAAGTACCGAGTTCAATTTTTACTATGAAAATCAATGATTTGACGTATGAAAATTTACCTAACTAGTCCCAAATAGATCAAAATCCAACTCTTACATTGTATTTATAGCTATAACGTAAATATACTAGAAAGTGTGCTGAAGAGCTACATGGAATAGAGACACTCATAATGCACATATATAAGTAATGACTAGTCAAAATCTAATCTTAAACATCAAGAATGGGTTAATTCTAATGAATTCAACTTAAATAGAACAACTGATAAAGTTCATTGCTACTTTTTAATGTCACTGATTTATATTTGTATAGTTACAGCTAGTGTAGCATAAAGTATTTCACCAAATGAATGTTTACTTCATACTTTTCTTTCTAATTCTTTCTTCCTGTATTATACCTTTATACACAATCTTACTCTTATATATTACTACCATTGAAGTAACTACTTCTATGAATATAATGTTCATCTTGTTATGTTAATGAGGCATGACAACTTGAACCGATGCACATATATACCTAGTTCTATGTTGTAGCGGACTGATTGACTGAA